GTGTATAGTATAGGCTTTATATTCCACTAAAATATCTGTTAACTAAATTTACATGTTGATGCTCTGAAGATGATGATTACTTCTAATCAAATACTTATATTAAAATTTTTCGTTCAAATTAATGTACAATATTCTGTAATCTTTTCAGAAACTTACAGTAATAGTATTATTTAAACAATTTAAATATTCTAGGCCAGAGGTTCCTAACCTGGGGTTTACACACCTCTTTGGGTCCGCAAAAAATAATCTCGGGGTTCGCCAAGTCAAAAAGGTCCGCAAGGGGTCCGCGAACAATTTGGGAGTCCTCAAAAATGTTTTCATGATTCGGTATATTTCTTGTCCTACAGCAGTGTGATAAAAATTTTATTCTTACTGCCAATTATGCTTGTCAATAATGAAGTGTACAGTACTTTTGACATAATAACATAGACTTCGTTTCACTCTAAAAATTTTTTAACAGGCATTGTATTTTTTAATTCCAATATTTTGGTGATCCTGTTAGAATGTTTTATATTGTTTTTTTATGTATACTTTATGTAAAGATGTTTAGTATAGGAGAGGCACATGATAGTGCCATACGTACATAGAAATTATGCGCCTCAGCCCCAACCATGTTGGAGTTTACTGTAGGTGGTTTCTATGAATGCTGTTTAATGTTGTACTTTCGTGGCAAATCATCGTCTATCTAAAATCTAAATATGGAGAATTATGGTAGTAATATTTAGACATAGGGGTCTGTGAAGATTTTTGAAATATCCCGGGGGGTCCACGAATGCAAAAAGGTTGGGAACCACTGTTCTAGGCCATAAATAAAATAACATTGGAGGATGGAAAGTGATGCACTTTAAAATCCAAACTTTATTGATAGAATTGTGCTTGTATCTATACTTTAAAATCTTGTTAGTGGTATCAATCTCTAGATTTTGGGTTGGTAATACCAACTCCCTGGTAATACTAGCCTGCTATAAAAGACCAAGGAATTGTCTAATTTCTTTTCAAATTCATTATTTTATTAGGTGTGTATTGCTGAAAAATGACTCCATCCATTGCTAGATTCTGACCTTAATTTAACAATATCTGACATTATTCAAATCTGATGCTTTTTTACTATACATCAACCTCCTCTTCCAACTGTTGGTTTCATTGTTGTTGAATGGAAGTGATTTTAAGTCATCTAATGAGTCATGGTTGACTCCAGAGAGACAGATAAACCACTCAAGTAGCCTCTGGAAATGAATACCTTAAATGCTCGAATAAGCGCCGCGGCACTTATGAAATTTGTGGAGGCTTCAGTGCGGCGCTTATTCGAGAGTGGCGCTTATAAAAAAAATATTGGCATGGCAATTTCTATGCCCGTAATATTGTTACCTATCTCACGTATTCCCGTAGTTCAGTAGGCCTATCAAAGATCATACGTCATCGTAAATAAACGTTTATAAAGAAAGGCTTTATTGTGTTATTTATTCACTTTAAAACTATATAGTTACATTGTATTTAAAACCCTGCTTCTCTAAGTGTTTCATTACAACCGGGGAAATATACTCTTGATTAAATGCTGCGGCACTTTTTCGAAAAAATCAGGTTTGGTGCAGCACTTATCCGAGCATTTAAGGTACTAGTCAACTGACCAGACAATTATTACTCAGGAACTACAATACATGCACCAATGTGAAACATATTGTAATTGTTGACCTATTCTCATAATAGTGAACAACTTTTTTTCTGCTTTGATGTTGATTTACACTATTGAACTTTATTTTGTGTTATTTCACTTTGTCATATTTTTATACTTAGCTTATAAACTTCAGTCATGTTAGCTGAAAACATAGAAGCTAAAAGATAAGCCAATTGAATTCGACAGATTCATTTACCTGTTGTCAACAAAACATTTTTTGACTTGGAATTGAAAAAACAGTCAACAGTATTTGAATATTTCTTAGCCATCTACGCAGCTGCTACTGCAGTACGAATTAGAACTACTTGCTCTTGGGCAAAAAAAGAAAACTTAAATTTGGCAAGAATACTTACAGTACACTCTACTCAGATTTCACTTCAATTAATTAATTTTGCTATAAATAATTTTATTTTATCTAATCCATACACAATTACGATAATAACTTTTCCTACCTTTTTTTAAAATTTCATTTTTATATAACTTTTGTATACTTTCAAAACATTTACTGTAGTAAGCTAATCAAGTTATTAATTACTTTACGTTTGTATTATTTTTTTATACAAAATTTGTATATAGTTGTATTTATGTTAAGTCAAAACGGCCTTGTGAAAAACACAATTTTTGTGAATCAAGTATCTCCATTTGAAAATAAAGTTATTATTATTATATTATGAACATGTTAGAAAAAATGAATTACATTATATATAGGCCTATATTACTAAGTTCATAATTTTAGACCAAACCAAAGAAAATTATCAATAACAAACCTTACCAATAGTTGGGAAAATCAACATATGACTTTTAACATCATCTGTAAGTAAATAAATCGATCTGCTCGCAGTGTTAGACCATGGAGAAATTAGTTCTAATTCCTCCATGGTTAGACGTATCCAAAGATCATGCAAGATACAGTATAAGTTTCATCAGAATAACAACTTAAAGCCAAGCTGCAGAGGAAAAATTATTTTTATTTTTATTTTTATTTTTTTTAAATTTTAATTTTAATTTTTTAATTTTATTTTTTATGCAACTGATTTTTCTAAGACACAAAAGTGTGATGAAAAAATTAGAGAAATGGTTAATGAGATACAGATTTTTGAATATTTAATAAAAATTGAGGGGAAAAGGTGGAAAAAGATGGTTTATATTCCCCTTCCCCACCCCCAACTAGTTTTTAAATAGTTTTTTTGTGTCTAAGAAAATAAATTGTACAACTTATCAGCATTTTTTTTTCTCTGGATCCTAACTTTAAAGTACAGTGCTGGGGTAGGCCCTGCTGTTATCTCCTCCCCTTGCATTATCCTGACATTTTTGGAGCATCTCATCATCACATCAACTCAAGTTGGAGTATCTTTACATTTCAGAATTAATTACTGATAACGTAAGCATTCTTCAGGTTATTGAATGCATTCTAATCTAAACATGTGTTATGAATCCTTTACTTTTTCTGGATTCTTTTCCAGTCCAGACATTTACTCATAGAGGGATGATCTCATAAGGTCCCAGACTGACTGGTATCTGAGGATACTACAGGGACATTCTTAGAATGTAACTGTATGGAAAAATAGGAAGTGAATTGTATTTCCATAAAGGATAGGCAAGGAAAGTGGATCTGAATGATGTGGGGATACTTCAAGATGTTGAGCGCAAAAGTTAAACAAAATTGGTTTTGCTAACAGTCTTGCTTTTTTTCAGTCTAGATTATTTCATCACTTCAAATCTATAGAATATTGCATCAAATATTTAAAATTCCCTATAAATAAACCCAAAATAATTATTTATTTTGTGAACAAGATATGGAGTCACTTAAATACTGTACACTTAATACAAATTCAACAAAATAAATGCAAACTTTAAAATAACTAAAACTGAGAAATTAGAAAATGAACTTAAAATAATACAATATTATAGTACACACCCCATATAACACACAAATATATCCCTCCCCCACGCACTCCTTTTTCTAATTTGAACCACATGAAATTAGTAAAAATGAAAAAAAACCCCAAAAAACAATTCTATTCTACTCTCATTTACCCCCTCCCTCAATTATACATTAATTAGTTAATTAATTAATTAGTTCCAGAACATTATAGAGTAACGACTGTAATTTATGAAATACAGTAAATAAATACATAGCACCTAATATAATTAAGAAAAATAGTTGTTTAAATAAAGTAAATAATACTAATAATTTAATAATATATATTAATACTTGCAGTATACCACGTAGAGAAATTTAATAATACGAATTATTATTCAAATCGCAACAATACCAGGTACAATATAATAAATTTGCATTAAACTGGGGTTGACTTAACTTCTGATCGTCTGGAGCATGCAATCTTAGCATACTTTTTACAAAATTTGTCTAAAGCCAGTTACTCACTGCATGCGACGGCGACGCAACGAAGAACGCACGCGAAGACGCGGACCCAACAGATCGTCTTTTTAATGAGGATCTGTTCAGATTGCCACTGACAATCAGCAGTGAGTGTCCGGCTTAGGCTTGAAGCATCTTTACTAAGTAATTTGTTTTCATAATTAAGGGTAAATAATGTTATAGTATAAATTTACATTTCTGAATGTAATTAAAAACATCTTTGATTTTTGTATTATTTAAAACCAGCTTTACAGCATAATTACACTATTACCGGTGTTGATTTATTGTGGAAATCCCTTTCTAAATCTCTTGAGCTTTTTAATTTGAAATATCTGTACTCACTTTATAGTACTTATGTACACAAAAATAATTCCTATGAAAGTACAGTAGCTGATTTGCAGCAAATTAAAATGATTGAATAAGTAATATCTTTTTAGTGTACCTCATTCATGCAATTAAAAGTTATTTATTTGTTTTGTTGCACACTCCAGGCTAGACCTAAAGGAGAAGGTTTAACACCCTACCAGGGCAAGAAGCGATGTTTTGGTGAGTACAAGTGTCCAAAGTGCAAACGCAAATGGATGAGCGGAAACAGTTGGGCCAACATGGGACAAGAGTGTATCAAGTGCCACATTAATGTATATCCTCATAAACAGGTTAGTTCTTATGAATATTCATTACTAATTGACATATTTCAATTTACAGTACCCTGTTTATTGAATGTTACAATATTAAGCATCTAAGCATAAAGTTCAAAATTTACTTTGTGTATCCGGAAATATTCCTGTTAGCAAATTCTATTTTTCTCCAAAATTATAGTATAAATGATTGTTTATACAGTATGTTTTGATGATTGGATTGAAAGATAATCTTTTATTACAACCTTCAACTTACTGTCACAAACACAAAGAGATAGATTTCGGAACTTGGGTTTGTAACAACTTCCTTTTTATAGCCAATCAAAGCAGAGAAGAGGAAGCATAAAAATTGACTTTAGACACATCCTACTTGGGTACTTGTTTATGCAAGGAACATTACTAAGCCCACATATCTCATAAAATAATAGTGTATTATCATTATCAAAGGTGAATCATGGTGATTAAATTTTTAGTCCTCCACTGTCTGTTATATATCTACAAGTATTGATGGTAGTTGGTGTGGGTGCTAATGGGGGAACAGAGGTTTTGTTGGGTGGATGCTCGATGATTAAGTGAGGGTGTTAGCAGGCAAAGTAAGGTGATGTAAGGTGACGATTAACTACTAAAAAAAATTTCCAGGGGTGGGAAACTTGTATATGACTCTGTCCACTGCAAAATGATTTGGTTTGCACAACCTGTAAGAACTAAATAAATTGAATGTTAATTTTGGTAAATATGGGTATTCAGCATTTTATATACTACTACTAGAGTGTAGTATGTTTGTCTATATATTTGGCTATTCTGCTTGGCTTATTACAGTAGGTCAAACCATGACATTAAAATCTTTTAAATACTGCACTACATCCCAATAGTGATATAAAAATTTAAGTGGTTTGGCTTTGAAGTTTGTTTTTTCATCTATTTTTATATGCTTATTCTAAATTATCACATTTTTGCCATTTCGTGCAACAGCCTCATTTTGTGTCAGGAAGTCACATAGTTAAGTTTCAATATTTAAATTCATTATGACATTTAAATTTTATATGTAAAGTTATTTACATGATATCTGTTTTCAATACACTTGTGTCTAGTTCATTTCAATTACAAAATATCAATTGATATTAAAAATCCTTTTATTCGTAAGACATTATTTTATGAGCTGTTGTTAAAAACTATTTTGTAAATCTTTCTTATCTAGCGCCCTCTTGAGAAGCCAGATGGACTTGATGTGTCAGACCAGAGTAAAGAGCATCCACAACATCTCTGTGAAAAGTGCAAAGCTCTTGGTTACTATTGCCGACGAGTCCAATAGCCCAATGTTTTATGTAGTGTTATCTTCTGGCTTGTACTTAATCGGTTCTACATTTCGTTTGCTGATCTGCACCAAAACAAGAATGTCGTTTCTCAACTCGTGGTAGTTCCTGTCTTAACTTATGATGATATATCAGATATATTTGGCAACGCCTTAATCTTTGGTTTGATGTACATCTAGTATGAGACATTGGCGTTACTAGCACGGTTGTTTTTAATTGTCAAAATATGTGACATATCAAAGACAAGTATGAGAAAAGTAGTGTAATATTTGTTGTCAAAGATTATGTAGTTACCATAAACTGCATTCCACCTACCATGACAGTGTAAAAAGCAACAACTTCTGTGTCAAAAATTATAATGTCTCCACAACTGTACATATATGTATACTGGCAATTTTTATTCCGATATTTTTAACCCAGTTTATGCAGCATCGTATGCTATCGAATATTCTTAAGATATTTGTGTTCTAGTAATCCAGACCACTAAATCTGGATGAGCACCTTATACTATACTCCTATTAGATTTGTTAAATGAAGTATTCATATAGAAAAGTACAAGTTTCACTGTGCAAGCAACACGGTTTGTTTCTGATAATTTGTATTTAGGTGCTACTGTGAGAATGTGTTTCACATGTTGGTTATTTATTTTGTTTTATGAATAAGCAACCAACCAAATTAATTTTCAAATGGTTTGATGTGTAATCTGTTTTTAAAATCTAGTGTTTTATCAGGAGATGTCTTCGTTAGAAAGTGTGGTGAGCTAAAGAATTGAAAGAAAATTAATTTCAGCAATAGTCATGAATTGATGTATAAACATGTTTTAATAATAGGGTAACTTTGTAAACTAAATAATGTGTGCTATTTAGCCCTAGGATTATTGGTGCTAAAGTGTTTGTCAAAGAATGATTGCCTAGTGCTGCCAAGTAAAAACCAGGGGCGGATCCAGGATTTGAAAGAGGGGGGGGGGGGGGAGGGGTTTCAAAATTTTTCCCAAAAACCTGAAAATGAAAGAGGGGTCCCTTTAATGATTTCTTCAAAATTCAAGGTTTTACCCCTCTTAAAAAAAGATTTTATCTCATTCTTAGGCCTATACCATAGAAGAAAATCAAAGATATAGTCAATACATTATTAGGCCTATATTCCAACAATATTGAGTAGTTGGATGCATAGTCTTTCTTATAGATCGATGAACCGATTAAGAACACTTTTGTACATAAATTATTACGACGTCGAGCCAAAAACAATGTTTTTAATTGTATTTAATCGAATGTTAGTTGGGCTAAGCCTAGTTTGTCCGATCTGCTAACCTATGCCTAGGTAGGTGAGCATGCCTTTTGTAACCCAGGACCCAGTCTATATATTTTGTTACATTTCTTCACAGAGGAGGGTTCGTTTGAACCCCCCCCCCCCTGGATCCGCCACTGAAAACTCTAACAATAGTGTTATATGAAATTTTAAAACAAATTTCTGCACATTTCTACTTACATTTTGTTAACATATTTGTATTAATTATTTTCAGATAGATCCAAATATTTATGCCCAAACATAAACAAAAATCTGTTTTCTTGTCTGGGAGTTTTTCTTGTGGTATATTCTTTATTTGGTTCAAATTTTTCTTAAGGTTTGAAGATTTATTAGTTTAGTGGGTTTTATGGCCCATAGAAATTACTGCAAAGGGTATGTTGCTTGCAAATGGACACTACAAGGTCATTATGAAAATTCCTTTGGTTTGACCATTGACTGATGAAAAAAAACAGTGAAACGTCTGTTAAAATCATTTTTGGAAGATTTCCAATTTTGGAATGTAACCTTTTGATTGTTGTTGGTACAAAATCTGAGATTTATTATCTGTATGATTTAATGCTATTCCTTTTACCTCCTTTTGTGTTTTAAAATCAAGTTAGTTTTAAGCTTTCATGTTTCAAAATTAATTAGTTCTTGATGTAAACAATCAACTTTAATTTTTACATATTTTTTTGGAAAATATTAATGGCCAATGTAAGTTATCGAGCATATAAATTTATTCCAGTTTTTGTTTTGAAGATATTGATTTTAGACTGGTTATAGAAATTATTGGTTATTCCAAGGGTCCATATATGTAGATTATCAGAAGCAACAGTGTTTATATATTGATATATTATATAAAATGATGATTCAAGTGTTAATTATTTATATAATACATGAAATAGGTTATTCAAAGTGGGCTCTTTGTTACAATTTGTGAATATTCAGTTGATTGCTGTTTTCATAATTTTAGATGTTACTAAATTTTTAATAATTTGTACCTCGTCTTGTCGTTACAATATTTATGAGGAAACAGTTTGTGTGTATATGGTTTTTAAGTTTGATGTGGGTCGAATCCAAGAGCAAGCCTTTCACGTTTCTCAAAATACGAGGATTTATAGTACATACTTTACTGTATAGTATGTACTAAAAAAGTACAATATTTAATTAACAAGTTCATTTTACTTAGCCATTTGATGTGTATATAGCTAGCTAGTCTTATCATATTGTTTTAAACGTAAAAAAAGGATATAATATAAATATTGATAATATTATTGATACTAATATTTGTAGATTAAATGAAAATGTTTATAATAAAATGTAGATAAAGTTTCTTGTAAACAAGACATTACTTTCAAGATGATTTTAAAAATACTAAATTTACTAATATCAGTACTCATAAAAAAATTGTTTGAACAAGGGAGGCCTCTCGGTTGAATTGAATTGTTTACTTTTTGGGAAAACCTAGTATTTGGCTGATTTCTTTAGATTTTAGAAAAAAAAAATCTGTTAAAACTGAATTGGAAATTCATTCAAATTATCAGAATGATAAAAATAAAATGTGAATCTACTACATATATAAAAAATTGTTCCTGCTACTGTATTTTCCTGCATGTTTTGAATTATTTTATACAGTACAGTGTATCCTCTGTAGTATATTAAAATACCTCAATCAGATGAAGAATTTGTTTTGTAAATAATTGTATTTTAAAGCCTAACCTATTTATGACTACTGTAACAGTCTGTTAATGTTTATTTTATGTGAAAATACTTGCTTCTATTTAAAAATTAATATGCTTAGTTCTGATAACTTGGAACAAATATTTCTGTTCAGGTACTGTATATTTAGTATTTGATTAACTTGAAAGTAATGCTTGTGTATGTAACTATAGCAACCGATGTGATCATAATCTTTGTAACCTTGATTCATTTACACAGAAGTGAGGAGATGAAACTATTTAATATAAATGATAAATATTTTGCAGTTGAGATGTTGACTTACATCTGAATATGTAAAGTTTGCTATTGTTTGACTAAGCCTGCAAAATTAATATTTTTCAAGAAAAAAAATATTTGAACATATTAATAGTACTAATGATAAAAAAAAAAAAAACATTAGCAGATAGAGGTGTTCCATGTAGAAAATATACTTTCAATTATTTGTTTTTCACACTCTTCTAAGTTTGCTGTGTATATTAGGATATTGAAGAGATAACATTGTTTTTTACATAAGCTTTTGAACATTATAAGTTTATATTCTCATATTTCATAGGGAAAATTAAAAACATGTTTCTTATATGGGTTACTTAAAAAATGAGATGAGGCCTCCCCCCTCCCACTTCCCCTTACTTTAAAAAATGGTTACTATTCGCACAGACTGGTATATCTCATCTTAGTTCTGGCTAAATTACATAAAGATACTTGTAGCGGACAAGAATGACTTAATTTCTATAGCATTTTCTAGTCTGGATGAAGTGGTAGAAAGATGGGTAAAGCAGAAAAACATGTTTTTGAAAATAAATAAATAACTTTGGTCTAATTACGTATTTCCTATCCCTGTGATGTTATTCTTTTCAAATAGGCTAAAAACCAAAGCTATGAATATTTTACTATGCAAAGCTCGACTATTTTAATTCCTTTTTAGCTATTCTACTTAAATAATTTATATTGGCAACTATAGAAATTTCAAATTGACAGTGAATAGGCCAACTGTACAAACACATCTTCACTAGATGTGATTACTTTTGTTCATTAAATCTAAATGTACTGGACTATATTTTATTCATGTAATTTTCTCTTGAGATATAATGTAACAGATTTTGAATTATGAGTTTGCTGTGATTAATGGCATCCTAGGTTAGAATAATGTTCTAGCGCTAATTGATAGGAGTTCACACTGACATTATAAACATTACTTGAATGTTCTGATCTCAAAATTAATCCTGGTACCCTGTATAGCATTGTTTAGTGGCAGGAATGTGAATTTGCTATGCTTTTGTCTGATGTTATAATTTAGAATATAAATGCAGTAAATATGCTAAATAGCATATGGTTAGCTCTTATCACAAATGATTATAATTATTTACTCAGTTTCATATTGATCAATTTATTGTTATGTATATACTAACTTCACATTACATGTTGTATTTTATAGAACAACTATAAAATGTTTTACGGAATTAAGAATTAATTTTCATTTAACACTATAACTGTCAGATATATGCCGGTTGTTGTATAATTAACAAGGCTATTTTTATGTGTGCATATTAACTATTTTTTTTAGAGTTATCTTATTTTCAACACACAGACATATATATGCATTTGAAGTTTAAATGTTCTTTAGCTTTAACCAAAAATGTGATAGAAAATTCAGATCAAAGAAGGAAAGCTGAAAATGTCTTCCCATAAGTTGTTGATCACTCGAGTTTTTGTTCAAGTTTCGAATTTGCCTGAGAAAACTTTAATGTAGGATTTCCTGAATGTTATTTTCAACTAACAAGCAATATGGTAAATTATGTACTTAATATAGAATGAAACATGGTTGCTATGGAGGAAGGATGCCAGGGTCAGAGTTCATATGTTATAATTAGTGTCATGTTCTTTCCTCTTTGATCTAAGACTATTTGAAATAAATAATTATTGGCATTTAAATTAGGGGTCATGCATAAAAAAATTCATAATTAATTTATAAAAATTACTTCCACAAGTTTTTGCTTGTGGTATCAAATGCAGAATGCAAATGAATTCCATAGCCTACTAGAATATATCAGGACTTTGATGAGCTTGGGAAAACAGGTTTTAATAAACAAAAGAATTAGTAATTCTCAAATGAGTGGAATGGTAAAACAATGACATATATATTGACAGACATATTAAATAATTGTCTGTCTTTTTCACTTAAATTGGACAACTCAATTAAGTATTTTGTACTGCAAAAGAGATAGGGCCTATGACATATGCTACAGAATGTGTCATGAAGCTCATGTGAATGCCATTCTGATGACCAATCCAAATGAACAAATCTGCTATATATATCTTGAAGAAAAAAAATAACCATGATTGAAAACTTGTAAAAGCTAGGCACACTGTGTAGGCCGACAGTCAACCAATGCCTTATGTGGAGACTACAGCTTATCTGGGATGATGACATGGAAAATAATAATTATACCATACCTAGAGATTTATTTAAATACAATATCATTAATTTCTAATACAAATATGCTATATACCATTATATTATATAAGTCCTAATAAAAAAAAAATGATTAGTTTATCACCCTTGCCCACATGTCTTCTATGGTAATTAAAAAAGAAAACATTTTTGAAAAAAACTATTTTTAAAAATATTTTTTTAGTAAATAGTTATAGATATTGAATGTATTATCTCAATCATGTATTTTACTTAAAATATCAATGCACCAGAAAACCACCCAAAGGTGATATTTGGCTTTAGCAAAATAAAAAAATATAAAGCCTGCCCCACCTCCCCCCAACCCATCACTTTTCCAGCCTAGATAGGGTGATAAACTAATTACTTTTTTATAGGGCCTTACATAAGAAAATCTATGTTTACATGATAAAAAGTTAAGTAAATACTGCTAGAAACCTTATGCTTGACTATTATATTTCGGTTATTAATATTTTACTTGACTATTATATTTCGGTTATTAATATTTTACACACTGGTTCACTGTTGGTTATTATGGAACTAGACAAGCAGTGAGCACAAGGCAGACTGACCTTAGCTTGAATTGGAATTCAAGGCATTCCTTTACTCCAATGACATCACTGAACTCTGACCTTTACTGGTATGTTATTGTGTACTAGTGCCTTTGTTAGGAAATGTTTCATAACGACTCCCTGGTTTGATGAAAGTTTTTATAACAATAACATTTAATAATAATGTTCAAAATACCAGAATCTAACAGTGTGATATATACAGTATATATTTTTCCTAAAAAGTTTTTTCTAACTTGTGAGAGTTTTTTAACAGTAAATATTTAAAATCAATTGGGTGTGTCACTATAATAAAATAGAATGTTACCAAGTTTTATGAACTTGTTTGTGTTTCTTTTTTACCCTAGAAAGTTTAATCATAGTTCATTTTAAGTCACACAAAATGACAATAATAGCTCAGGGAGAAGCTCATGAAATATTTTATCATAAAATTGTGATATCCTATTGTGGAATTTGATTGATAATGTATATTCATAGCAGTGTAATGAAAATGGAGCAACTTCCTACTTTTCTAGACACCCACTTTTTACAGATATTAATACTGATACGATGGGATTTGTAATATAACTCTTACTTTCCTTAAATACATGAATGCTCTTATGTGTCATCTTCAGTCTAACAATTATGGTACTGTATTCTGTTGTACATGATACTGTATATCCATACAAGTCTATTGAAAAAAGAATAACTTTTTTACACATGATATCTTTACTTAGGTCCCATAGCCTATACTAATAATTGTATTGAACATAAACTGCAATTTTATCATATTCTAAGGAGGTACAGTAATAATCTGTTTTGTACCTAGATTTAATTCAGTATAATTTTATTTATCTTTGCATTTGCAAGAAGGTTTTACACATGGTGGCTATATGTATATATAAATAACATGGAAATACAGACTCGGCTAAAATAAAATACATAGTTTATGCATTATAATGTATTCATGGTAAATGTTCTTTTAACATTGCCATCAAAGGCAAAGTTTTTGTGTTTGGCATATGATACTGATTAATAAAATAAATCATTGCTAAACATTATATATAAATCTCTAATTGTAAGTGATATATATGTTGCTGTGTAGCATGAGTGATACCTGATCTCATATTTTTGATATATGATGATTGATAAACCTAAAATCTACTGTATCACAAACACCAATAAATTAACAGACATAAAATCAGTTTTGAAGTGAGCAAAAACAGAACAGTGTTGTACTGAAAATTGCAGAGGTACCAATATATTACAGTACCTCCCCATTCAAACTTTTTTAAGTAAAAATGTAAAAGTAAGTTTTCTTATAGATTGTTTGCTGTGTACTATATATATTTTGTTAAATAGTAATCATAGTTATTATTCAGGTATTTTAATTTAATGTATGGAGGTTTAATTTTTTGTATGAAGTTATATTTTGAGAAAATGAACTCTTGACTATGAATGGAACTGTTGAATATTCATTTCCAGATTGAGTAAACCAAGATTATCTTATATAATAATATGTATATATTATAGGTTTTCATGACGGTATGTACATACTTAGAATTCAGATACAAGCATTGTTCATTTACCTAGCATATGAAGAGTTCATATTCATATTATGTTACAATTGTTAGCAGTTTATGGAAATTTAAGTTGTATAGTCACAGTGTGTTACTGTACATTTTATTAGATCTACAGTATATGTTTTTTTCTTCACTCTGGTTTTGTTAATGTTGCGACATTTATCATTAAAACAAGCATTTTAAAACCTGTATTCATAACACAAACCAAATGCAAGTAGGGTTTTATTACTGTTAAGAGATAGTATAATGTACAGCGTTGTTGTTTAGGGGTACAATTAACTTTACCATCTTGGGGTGGCTCACTATCCTTTCATCTGCCCCTAATGGTTATTTTCCAGTAAGCTGTAGCACATGGAAAGTTGTACAGCGTTGCCTTATTGGTTGTGCAGCATAAAGGTACTGCACTAAAACTAAAAATGAAATGTTTGTTTGGTTGGAGGTACACCTTTTTGGTTTTTGAATTGAGGCATATTTAGCGCCTCTCTGGTAAAGTAATTAGAAAGTACTACTGTATGTAGCTTGTGCTTAGCCGTTTGTGTGGGTTTGTTTCGCTGACCTGTTGGTCTAGTACCAATGATCTTGCAAGTTTAACGTAACAGGATGCATTCTGCAATCCCAAGTCAAATTCAGTGCCTTTTTGAGTGAGTTTGTTGTTGCTTTGTTCAAGCGTTTCCAATACTTGTTGATTGGACAATGTGTATCCAAAAAAGGATATTTTTAGTGACAAAAAGTTGGTTGTCTGATGTTCTGGACAAGTATCAGTGTGAAAGGTTGCCCTTGTGTTATGGATATGATATAATATTTCTTGAAAAAAAATATAGATTTGTGGTGGGCTGGTCCAATATTGTTTACCTTTTCTACTAGGGATTTGAATAAATGCTTTTAAGCAAGTTTTTGTCATTATATTTTGTACTCAAAAGTAAAATTTGAAACATGCATGAAGAAAATTAATAAACATTGTTATAAATTTACTGGTTTTTAGTTTCATCTTCCTTTAATGTGTATCAAACCTAAGTATATATAGAAGTTTTCTATATAATGTTAATATTATTATATTAAAAATACATCGTACAACAATATAAAAATGTGTGTCAAGTTTATGCAAACTTGACACCACCAAATTAAGATATTCTTTGGATGCATGCAAATTATATGATATATGTGACCCAAGCTCACAAACGGGCTGTAAACTCGTCCTCAGGCCAAAATGAGTTTTTGTTATAATGGCATAGAACATATCATTTACTTTAAAATGACAGTTAAATGAATTCAATCAGGTATCTGGAAGCAAAGTTATGACCATTTGAGTAATTGTCATCTATCACCATTCTTAAATCAAGTTTTGAGAAAAATGCTTTTATTTTCGGCAGGTTTCTATTCATTTTTCATTAGCTCCCATCCGAAAATGGCTAAATTTTACCTCTTACAGTTGGAATTTTAAACTCAAACTTCAGGAATAGTAAGATTAATAGTCATACTTTATTTATTACACAAAAACCTAATTCACACAAAATTCACATTCTACGCACTATTCTGGGTATTGAGGCTTGTTTCTCAATACAGTGCAGTGCGAATTTACAGCCCGTTTGTAAGCTAGGGTCACATATATCATACAGAATATACATGCGTAACATTGCTGTCTGTGATAGGACCTGAAAGACCTCTCATTCAGGCAGTGGATATTAGCAGTAAAAAATCTGCTTACACAGATTTTTCAAGAGGGCGCACTCCAACTCTTATTTAAATGATAAGCAAAATTGTGTTACAGCTAGTAAAATGCCACTGATCTCTATTTAATGGCTGGATTGCTCATTGGCTGATTTTAGTGAAGCCATTTGGCACCATGTTGGAGAGCTGTCTGTCATAGAACCTGGAAGACCTCTCCTTCAGGCAGTGGATATTAGCAGTAGAAAGTCTGCTTACACAGTTTTTTCCAAGAGGGTGTACTCCAACTCTTATCTTAATGATAAGCAAAATTGTGTTACAGCTAGTAAAATACCACTGATCTCTATTATAATGGCTGGATTGCTCATTGGCTGGTTTTAGTGAAGCCACCTGGCACGATTTTGGGCAGTCCAAAATGCCATGAATACAGCATCAGAAAGCAAAACTTTAGAACCCCAATGCGACGTTCTCCAGTGGTTAGTAGATGTGAAAAAAACATTTCATAAAATTTAATTTTTGTATTAATAAGTATTGCAAGAATTGTCATTTTTTAACAATACAGTAATTTAAACAAATGCCATAACTAGATTGGTATGTTACTTGGGCTGTTGCATATGGTGCCGGTGGCTTCACTTTTTACTGTACAGTGAATGGCCAGTGAGCAATCCATCCATTATTATAGAGATCAGTATAAATAATGCTCATTAAATGTTGAATTGCTCATTTTAAAAGGTCAACTAAGTTATCAAGTTCAAATGAGATTTTAAAAATTATTTTTTTGCTGATTAACAGATTATACTACGAAACTCTAAATAAAGACTACTGTACCAATCAATGGGTCTATGCACAAAAAATGATTAATGGTATTAAATGCATATGCTGATAAGATATTTAGTAGTTTCAACTGTGCATGCCTATATCTAAGGTCAATCAACAAATCTATGTTGTGTGAATTACCTTGATATGAATATGCATGTCTTACAGATAAGGCTAGAATTTTATTCAAAATTCTTTGTTCACTTTTTGGAACAATACCTGTAGTTTATAAAGGTGACATCTATCAGTGAGGAGCTAATAACTTAATTAACAAACTAAGAAATTCAAATATTTTTACTTTTATTTTAAAATTTTAATAGCTTTAATAACACAGACAATATAACTTGCATACATGTTTATGAACAAAATTACATGGTACAGTTAACAAAATAAGTATGGCGTTATACATACAATTTCATTATGTTATATATTATTTTATGTTAACCTCTTTATTTAACAATATTTAATGAGGGTGGCCATTATGCTCTACATTACTGAGAAGCTAATATTAGGGCCATCAAGTATAAATATAATCAATGAATATGATTTGAAGATTCAATCAAGTTATTGCTACGGAAACTAACATAGGTTATTATCTGCTTATAATTACGATACAAACCAACTAACAAAACAACTGTTACTTCTCAACTTTTCAAAATGTTCACATGCTTTGTGTAATATTTGAGGTACTGTACTTCACAATTCAACACATTTTAGTCCATTCTCAAAAGGGAGGAATGGTACTATTATTATACCATTATGAGGGCATAGTCCACAAGGAGGATGAATAAACTACACTGACAGGGAGCGTATGGTCCACATTTAAGAGGTGGGGTTAGAATAAACTTTAGGAAAAGGGCTAGTCGACTTTTAGGGGAAGGGAATAGCCTAGTGGTAGTATAATATGGGCCTTTCCAGTGTCAAACTTTAACCAATCAAAGGATGTTATTCAACAGGCAGGGGAGGAACATGTGTATGTCTCACAAACACAAAAGTTTATATATGTCCACATACTCGTCTGCCTTTCTCTAGGAATACCTTTCACTTTTTGGGGATAGAATAGAAGATAACCTGAAGGTAGTACAGTATACTATGGACCTTTCTAAAGTGACAAAATTAACAAGTGAGCGAGTGACAAAAAAAATCAGAACATGTTATTCAATAGACAAGGCCAGGAATTTTGTCCCACAAACAAGTTTACATCCACACGCTAAGCTATGTTTCTTTTGTGGATCTTAGAAACAATATTCAAGGGGCAGAGCTTTGTGGAACATTTGATTACTGTTCTACAATTGCACTTTCATTATTAGGAACGTATCGCTTCTTACCACCAAGCTACATCTTGCCTATGATGTTGGTTAGATTTTGAAATTGAATCAGAATGGAAATTTCATAAACCATAATACAATAGTATATTATTAAAAGTATTAATTATTAAGAATTAAAAAAGTACTCTAATCCTTAAAACTGCATAACTGATGGTTATTTTAGAAATAAAACCACGACAATAATTAACCGAAATTGCGGGCGTATGGCAGTAATATTTAAACTGGCTCAGCACTTTGGTTCAAATTTATATACATTGCATTGAACGTTGCATCTGAAAGAATTTAATGGAATTTAATATATAATATAGGTAGGTTTAAAGGTCAGTTTGTTCAAGCATTACATACTAAACACTGTAGAGTAAAATCTACATGTTACTGTGAATGGGAGGATCTTATCTGTGACTGGTGGTAGTCCCATTGGTGGCCGTGGTTGACGCTGTGCTGAAGCAGGAATCAAGGAAAGCTTCTGCAATTTCACTGACCATCGATCGATCCGGAATACTTTGAGCCATGCCATAAATAGCAGCCTGCAAACAGAAGCAATTCACTTTGAATATATTGATACTGAACAAAAAAAAACCCCACCCCCCAAAGTAAAAACTTTATGAATGAATGAAACTAGTTTCTGTCTGTATAGTAATCTGGAATCTTGAAGTAAAACACTGAATTTCTAATCAAAAATTTATCCAATTCCAGTGAGACACAAAACCAAAACAATTCAATTTTCATCTATTTACAGATTTACTAATAAGAAAATAGGCTACCAGCAATTCAATTGTATAAATGTACAAAACAGATTGTTGACTTTCCAGTTCTTTCTAGGACTGGTCTTATCTGGGCTTGGCATCATATTTCATAACTTCAGCTTATGACGCATTCCTACAGTTTATGAGGCAATATTCCATCATGCACCTCCACCCGTTTTCCAGACAATAGCTAAGTGTCTACTGACTCCCAAATATTAAAAGTAAGCGGAATGAGATAATCCAACTATTTAGGTTACGAACACCTGAATATTTATTTTGAATTTGTATTGAACAAGAGAGAACTAATGGATTTCACTATAGCAGTATTATGCCTATATGACTGTGTGAACTTACAGCACCATCTGCTTTCTTTTTTGGATCTTTCATGATTTCTGCCGTGAGGTTGCGGACATCTTGGACAAATTCATCAGCTACACCTTTACTTGTTTGACGCATTGTCACACACAAATGAAAGCTGTGGCAAAGAAAAATTGGTTTGGTTAAAGATTTACTGTTTTCCAAAAAAAACCAAAAAAAAACACCTAAATAAATTATAAATTGCTCATTTAAATTTCATCGAGTAACAGATAACAAAATAAATCATTTTCAGTGATTTACAGACATATTCAATCTTTAAATTTGCAGACTGTTTATAATAATAATCATTCATATCATCCATAATTATCCACATCATCAATACCTATCATCAATACTGTATAAATAAACACATCATCACAATAATCATCACCAATGACTAACATAATATTCATCCTCATCATCAATACCATCATTATTATAATTATCGTCATAATTGTCATTGCCACAAACAGCATCACCACCATAATCAACAATATCATTAGCATTAAAAACATCACTATAATCAACAGACAATACAGTAATAAGATAGTGAATAACTTTCTTTACTCTTTTTACAGCTGGTATAATTGTACCTTGCGGGGAACTGAAGTACATTCAGATTCCATCCTTTTTTGTTTAAAGCGCTGGACAACCGGTATATATTAAAGTCATGTGACCCAATTGCAACCACGCTCACCTTCGGTTTACCATACACAAAAATACCATTTATTTTTCCAAGTCTAAAAAAAGAGAGTAAAAGTAACTAATTAAATTCACAAAAAACATATTTCTTCATCATGATTAGTAACAAATGCATTTAAGATGGTTGATTCTATTATTTTTTGGGGGTGTTCTATTTTTGGTAATAGTCACTTTATTCAGGTAAAGGTGATAAGCAAGTAAGTGTGATCACATACTGTTCTGCTATATATCTAGTTGTTGACACAATCTTCTTGGTACTTGCTATGTAACCAGACTCTCCAAAATAAATCATCGTTGCCCAACAAGCTGCAACAATTGCACCAGCCCTGCTTCCTGCAATGAACAGACACATGCAGAAATGGGGTCAGTTCAGCAAATTATCAATAGTCCTCTCCTCAGAAATTACAAAAATGAGGACTAATCAACAATACTAAATGTAGTGGGAGTACCTGCCAGGGAGTTTTGGTCTGGAAACCAAAATTTGGAGTTGGCAGACCATGATAGGGATTTGCCTGTGCCTTTGGCAAGGCACCACATATCCATGCTTTACTTTCAATCCAAGTGCATAAATAATATGTACTTAGTAGACTGGCAATATTTTTTACTGAATGATTCAGGCCATCCCGATTTTTTTATGCATAATTAGGAATACTTTCTTGGAAGGAGAATATACATATTGGATGATTATTACTGATTTAAACGAGTAGGGTAGTAATGTGAAGTGATTTGTTAGGCTGGAAGATAGCTAAATAAACACCTCATTGAACACTTTATTATAAGCAGTGATATGTACTTCAGAAACTAAAGCCTGAAGGAATCATTAATAAGTTCATTTTTTTATTGTCGGTACTAACCTGCCAAACCAGGTGAGGCATAGATACCGCCCTGCCAGTCAGGATTAACGTAGTATTGGCGGGCCCGCCATTTCTTGTCGCTATACAAGATGACAGATGAGCCTTTTGGAGCAAATCCATACTACAAGGTGAAAAAGTTTGAAAATTACCACTTCAATCAATCATTTATCTGGAAGCTTTTGTGGGGTCCAAAATGTTTATATTTTAATGTAAAAATTTCTTTACATATATTAATTTTAGCTTAAATTGTTAATGTAAATTCATGTTTTTCACTGCCCTACTTGCTTTAAATTAACAATATTTTATAAACTTGTTAAATATTTTAATAAAATCAGATTCCTTAATAAAATTCAAATAAATTTGGTTGTTTTTGACTGGAATATTTCGTTAGAATTACGTTTATATAGATTTGTGCAATCTACTTTATTTATATTTCAATATATACATTTGCTTCAGCTTTAAATTATATTTTGTCAATAAATGTATCTTGTATAATTACTTTGTGGGTATCCGCTGAAATGCTAGTGACTCCATCAACAGAGAAATCACATGATGGGATGTTGAAACCGGCCTTATTCATGAATGGTACCAAGAAACCACCTAAGCAGCAGTCTACGTGGACAGGAATACCATAACGACGACCTAACTGTTAGATAAAAATGAATGAATATATTTTTGAATTTCAACACCAACTCATTTATTATAACTTTTTTTAAAGAATATTTTTTATTAAACATTATGTACATCACTCAAAAACAGGGATTTTATATACTCACAGCTGCAATGTCGGCAATAGGATCAATTATTCCGTGAGGAAATGCTGGTGCCGATCCAACCAGCATGCACGTCTTCTTGTTAATCAGCTTCTTCATAGCCTTTCAAAGGACAATAAATTTAATTGGTTAAGCAAACACATTTTGAAGATCAAGAACAAAAGAATTTACTTTGATTTTGTGGTGAGTTGAGTGGCCAAGCAGTTAGGCAGGGGCATCGCTAACTACAGCCTTAACATCGGCGCTGGTTCCAGCAGCTCCTCACCAAGGGTTGGGTTGGTAGAACCAAGTCTTCTCGGATAAGGACTTACAATGGAGGTCCTGTGTATACATCCGGCTCGTGTGCACTTTAAAGAACACATTGCATCTTTCGGAAGAGTAGGGGGTTACCCCGATACTATGGTTCATTCAGCCCCTGTCGTTGTGGAATGATGTGAACATGTAGCTACTATTAGCACCTCTTAACAGCTGCTAGGTAGTCATGAAACCACGCCCATATACAATTCAGCACAATCACACTGCAATTTATAGTTTATTCCTTTACGCTTTTACAATAACAATGAAATGTAATATAACTTGCCACAATTATATTTTTGAGTTTAGCATACCTTCACGTTGACCTGAGAGGTTTCAGGGTCAATAGGCACGTGTACTAGCTTCATCTTGAAGTAATATGCTGCTTTGTTGAAGGCAGCATGAACGCTAATGGGAGCCAGTCTAAGAACAAAAAAAAAATAAACAAATTTAATAAGGTGCATGGTTGTATTCATCATGCTAAAATGAGTGAGAATAACTGGAGAATTGCTGATCAAACTGGTATTTTCTTAGTCTGAACTTAAATGTTGTAACACTTTTGAATACAGCTGTACAAGCTACTAGTAAGGCATCAATAAAAGAGTTTCTAAAATGTTTTCTTTTCATCAACTACCATTATTACTATATTTACTGTTTTAATGTTATAAATTGAATTGAATTGACCCATTCTACACAGGTGATTCAATGGAAAATGCAACGACACGACGCACGCGCAAAGGATCATTTTTAATGAAAATCCGTTCAGACTGCCGCTGACAATCAGCAGACGGTGTCGCATCCTCTTGTGCTCGCTCACAGGGTGGTGGCTGACGGGCGTACGACTGTCGTACAATCGTCATACAATGCAGTGGGTGCCCGGCTTTAGGGAGTGGAGGCAGTTAATGAATTTATTGCCCAAGTTGTTCTTCCTGTTAGGAGTCAGTCAGTACTGCACACTTAGTAAAAGTATTAGCAGCTGTAATAAGAATAATTGGGAAATTCTATTTTGTAAGAAGCGGGCTCCCTGCTTTTGGATGTGAAATGAAATAAAATTTAAAAAATAAAATAGTTTTAATGATAGCCCGGCAACTTACATTTCAGGATACAGGATACCTTTATCAAACCAGATACTACGATATGCTAAGCAAGCCATTAGGATGCTCTCAGTACCACCAGAGGTCACCTGTAATTAAAACACATGTTCAAAATGAAAAAGTTAGAAAACAAAAATTGCAAAATTCATGAAAATTGATATCCTGTCTTTGAATTATACATCCCAAGGCCATTACAAATGAACACTATTGATTTGGAATTCATAAACATAATTATCATATTTAATTTGAAGTTAAATTACCATGGTTCATAAATCTGTGAATAGAATTCTCAGATACTCATAAAAGGTACTACTATAATACCTACCTCTATGGTCAGATACACTTCATGCTGGTAGGCCTATTACAATTATGCATAGGTTGTTGCAACAAGTACAGAATGCATTATTAAAACAGACCTTCAATGATCTCTTTGTTAAATATACACCAGAGAGCGGCACAATACCATGGAGCTATTACATTAGAGGAAATCAAAGTTTATCTACAATTGCTAATGTGGACTTAATGATCAGTTAATTCAAATCTTGTCAAACCAAAATATTCAATTCAACTTCAATTTCTATTCATAAACAACATAGTCGAAGTTCTAACTACGGCTAAATCAAGTCCTAGTTTTAGTTCAACTGAAGACGGCTGGCAAACCACGACTATTAAACTATCTAATGAATAAAGCTCATTTTAATAGGCGACGAAATTTTGGAGATCCGGTAACGCAGGTGAATATTAAGCTACCGTCTATCGTTTAAAAAATATTTCCTCATAATTCATATTAGACCATCATTCGCTTAATTAATTTTCTATAATAATAACTATATTAGTTGTTAACATATAACGACAGCAAATTTGAACAGTCACTGAAAAATTGCTTTCTTAGAAAAAATCTTATTGTTGAGCCTGATCGAGGGTGGCGCCATCTTTGTTGTAGTTACGATTATGGAGGAAAGAAACAGATTTTTCCCTCCATGTTACTATGAAGCTACGTGACCACAACGCTAGGGGATTTCATGCAAATCAGGAACAATCACATGTGGCTAGTAAAACATAATAATTTTGTCTTTTGGAAGCTAATCTTCGTGTCTGTTTTGTTGAATACACCGAATACACATTGGACCTACTTATACATTCATTTCACTCTATTGCGAGTTACAAAAAGCACGTTTTTAGTAGGGTAAATATTTCAATTCGACGATATAGCCTGACACTAGGCTGACTAGATATCGACCTGCGGAGTATCACTTTTGTCAAGGTTCGTGTGATTTAGTCGTAGTGCTAGTCGAAGTTTGTTTTAAGAATACTAAATGACGTAATTTTGAAGTTTTAGCTCGAACTACGTCTACAGTTTGTTTTAAGAATACTGGGGTTAGTATGAGAAAGTAGTTAACTATTGAACAGGATACCCAGTATAAAAAAGAAAAAATAAATTTTCAATAGATAATATGGATGATTGCATCAATTGCCACTTACCGTACCACAAGACCCTGGTCCTCCGTTGAACATACTGAGACACATTGCAATAACCTCAGCTTCCATTTTCCTAACTGCCGGGAACACATCTGGGTGGAGCGGATTTGTCCACGCAAACTCACCGTAAATCTAATAAAATATGAAGCAAACACTACATCAAACTTATTTGGGATAGAGTGTGTGCATATTGTAAATTGTTGATATTGATTAAACTCAAGTTGTTAGGTTTAAAATTTAAAGTAATAATTTTTGAAAATGTATTGTTGATTTGGTTTTATTGATGAATTGTCTCTCAATTTTGGTGTATGACTATTTAGTTTTTTGTTTGTATTTGTTTGCTACAGTAGTCTTTTTAATGTTTTACATTCTAATTCCATACTTATATCATCTGGCAAGCACAATAATTTCTTTAGTTTTTTTTGGCGATTATATATTTTCTTGTCATTTTATTTTCATTTTATTAGACACATGGGAGGTCTAATAAAACAGGACTATGAAAATTACTGATGCTTGCTGTTGTCACAGACATTATTACTGATAATATAGAGGTTTGTTATGGTTTTAACACACTGTTGAATCAACGTAACTTATACTGAATGTCGTGTATACACCATTTTCGCCAAATTTTAAATGAACATTTCCGAGAACCTGGCAAATACGACTTGAGGACTATCAGAGGCCTAGCATTTCGCTCTACGTTATTACCATCATGGATTAATTAAACGATAAAATGAAAAAGAATTAAAAACAAGTCTAAGCCTTAAAAAGCTATTTCAATGTACACATACAGTAATTAGCAAAAGATCGTATCTGTTTCTGCTGCTGTTTTAGCAGAGGTCTAGATGTGCTATCAATTAATATTTTCAGTAATTGGTTAACAATTTGTAAGTAAGTAATAAAATAGTACTACAATAGTACAACAATAGCATAATGATAATAATAATAATAATAATATAACAATGACAATTATAGCAACTATAATTAGTAAAGTGAAACTCGCCGTAAATCTAATAAAATATGAAGCAAACACTACATCAAATTCATTTGGGATAGAGTGTGTGCATATTGTAAATTGTTGATACTGATTAATCTCAAGTTGTTAGGTTTAAAATTTAAAGTAATAATTTTTGAAAATGTATTGTTGATTTGGTTTTATTGATGAATTGTCTCTCAATTTTGGTGTATGACTATTTAGTTTTTTGTTTGTATCTGTTTGCTACAGTAGTCTTTTTAATGTTTTACATTCTAATTCCATACTTACATCATCTGGCAAGCACAATAATTTCTTTAGTTTTTTTTGGCGATTATATATTTTCTTGTCATTTTATTTGTGAATTTACATTCAAGAGTGATCACTCATTTTATAATTTATCTCAACTCTGGCATTTTTATGACTCATTATATTTTCATTCTAGTTGCACAGGCCTTTATGGGAGCATAGGGCTCTGGTTGAGTTGAGTGACATGATCTAAATGTGGGTGTTTAATTCAAACTAATATTCATCCAAAAATAGGTGAATATTTTAGGGTCCCAGGCTCTGTGCACTTGCCCCACCTTTAGAAACCTAGTTAAAGTTCAAACCTCACCTTTCCTTTAACGTATGGCATGTTTTTGACACATGTGAAGAAGGTTCTTTTCACACGCTGCATTATGGCTGAAAATACAAATAATAAAATAACAATAACACTCAGCAATAACAAAATATTTACATTGCGCCAATTTCAATTAATGTGGCTTAGATTGTGCAGTTTCCATTAAAAAAAGTAGATAGTCATCAATAATTGATTTTTTTTTACTTGATAAAAGATAGGTAGTAGTAGTGTTACAATAGAAGGTAGGAATCAGGCTTGGACATACTTTAATCTTGAAGAGTATGACACCATTGTAATGGTTAATCCTTAGACTTTACCTTTCAAGGTCCCCACAGCTTCAGAGATTCTGAAAGCCTATCAATCAATAGCTAGGCGAGTTTAGAAATGTTTGATACTAGATTGTTTTGTACTGTTTATTTTACTAAAAATATTTAGCAATATTTGCAATACTAATTTTGATTGATACGATTCAACATTTCTATAATTTGGTTTTTATAATTTGGTTTACATTTGAATGCATTTGTATTTGTATACTATTCAAACATCCAACAGTATAAACACCAATTACAGGTTGAACATTAATATATAAAATACACAATAATCAATAAAAAGCCTAAAGGTTAACTTCCAAAAATAAATAAATATTTAGACATAACATTATTAACCAATTAAACTAACTGCTGATGTATACTGATAAAAATCACGCAAATCTGAGGAAAAAAATTGTTGAATATTAAAAAAAAATTTCAATATATGAACAAAAGGTAACCAAGTTGAGCTTACTGAGTTCTGGATGATTGAGCCATTGGTAAATCCATGTTATAATCAATGTGATCCCGATGGAGAAAGAAATCAACTGCCACGGCTCTACACCAACACATCTGCCATTTACATCTTTTCTTAAATCATCCAGATTCAGAAGGAAAATGTCCTGTATGAGCAATGAGGTAGAATAGAAAATTAAACTTGTATCATGGAGAATAGAATAGTTTCGTCGAGTGTCAATTAAACTGCTCAAATTTGGTTGTGAGTTCTTTCTTGACAATGTTTAAATTAAGAAGGTCGACGAAACATACATAGAATCAATTACGGACTCACAGGTTGTCATTCTTTGGAATTACCATATTCATATAATTAAGTTCTTTTTCAATAGAGGTTTTGGTTGTGATATGGCAACATCATGCCTATATAATGGTTATGATAATGATATCATCATGCCCATATATCGTTCAAATTAGACATCAACATGCCCATATATGAACAAATCATACATACTTGTCACAGAAGAGTTGATAATATTGAAAGATTTTTAGAAGGCATTCTGATTATAAATTATAATTTGTAATTGTCAGTCAAATTTAAACTATTCTGTGTTAATTTAATTTACTATTTAATGTAATTATACATGTGAGTAATTTTCTACCAAGCTAGATCACAACAAAGTTTCTAATAAATTTAAGACAATCGAGGTCTGTGACCAGCCAATGGCTGATGCCAGGGGTCAACCAAGGTCCTGTGTGTCTACTAGATCTGTATAAAAAACACTTACGACATGTGAAGACATGAGTTGCCCTGCAATTAATAGCTACCTCCCCGCATACCTCTAAGGTTACACTAAGTGTAGTTAGAGGCTGATGTTAGGATTCTCTTTTTACGGCATTACAATACACCAAGGCCAATTTAAGTACAGATACTACATTCAGAACTACTTGGCTATTTTTCAGTCAAAATCTTGCCTGGCAAATGCCATAGGTCAGGAGAGCTTACTAAAAAAAGCCTAGGCCCAGAACACCTGATTTTCCCAAAAAAGTAAGCAATGGCTAGGAAAATTTGATGATGGCTTGGGGGCATTAAATGACAATCCAATGGGCCTACTCGTACCCTTTGAAAGAAATATTAGACTTCCTTAATCACAGTAAAAAAAAAAAAGTAGAAATTGTGATTAATATTTTTTTTAAATTACTCGGTGTAATAATATCATCTGGTCAGCCCATTCACAGTACTGTGTTCATTTTAAAAATGTCCTTCTCATTGCATACGCCTGAACATGTATCTTCTAGCACTGCATCGTTTTTAATTAGTTAATTCTGGCCTATAGTACTATTGTATGCATGGCGTTCTCCCCAGCCCAGTGAACATCAACTCCATAATATTTATTTGATATATTATAACAAACTTGTTTTGAAGACCCGATATGTGCGTCGCTCCTCAAGTAGAAACAAAACTAAGAAATTTACTGAAAAATAATATACTTATACCAGCTACGGAACAATGCCAACCGCTGCTGTTTTCATTTCTCTTAACGGCCTGGGCCTAGCCCAGTAGAATACTGTAGTGGGTAGTAGTAGTAGTAGTACGTAGACGGCAGGCAGCAGCAGGTGTCACTCAGTGACAAAAAATACTGTACGTGCAACGATATAACGTAACACAGGCCTAGCTTAGCCCACACGGACGAGGCTTCACTACTTAAACTGTTAGTATAGTATTTTGGCAAAGTTCTGATGATATTTGTAGCTATATCATTATGTGTAACTTACCCAATACACTTCCAGATTTGCCAAAATTTCACTGAAGTCCATTTTTATCAAGATGTACCACCCACAAACTCATAAAACCATAAAATATAATTCTTTGCTGCATTAATGCTGTATCAGTAAATGGGATATGTTGCAATAAAGTGTAGGTGGCGCTGTTGCTAATTGTCACACGTGTGTCATAACAAACACACCCCCTAGACGAGGTCAGATGGACCGGTATCTTTGCTACTGCTAGTAACATGAAGTAAATTTTTTGTAAATTAAGTACTCCTGGAATAATTATGGAGTCCATTGAAAGCTGGGCGGTAAGTATTATTAACTATTAATTAATTTTGGAGATATTTATGAGCAGCTGCAGAAGTAAACTTCCATGACAACTGGAGATGAGGAGGAAATTATCTAACATGAAATTTGATAAATATCCACATTTCTTTATAGCCTGCTGTATTGAAATATTTTTTTAACTTGTTTTTGGTAGGAAATCGGTTTATTGTACCTGAATAATACAAGACATTTTATTAATGATCAATGTTCTGGTAGGGAGGCATGGGAGATCATCTTGGCCACTGCGTTACTGATAAACATCTGCCATTGGTTATACCAGCAAGTGTTTTTCCATGAGCTAAGTAAGTGCTGTAATTGAAAATCAGGTTACTTCAAGTAATCTATATGCATTTATTGTTACAGCTATCCATATGAAACAGGTTTGTAGAAACAAATGCATATAAAATTTTAAAGAATCGAACCCTGGACTTTTCGCTTAAACGGCGAACGTATTTACCAACTAGACCATGAAGGCTTTCGTTAGTTGATATGATCCGATAGCCACTGAGAGTCCTTCACCATTCTCAACGCATGGAAATTTGAACAATACTAGTCCATGCATGCTATGGGACCATCCAAGATCTGAATATACACCCTCTGCAGTACATTATGTAAGGCAGGCTGGATCTCAAAAGGGATTTCTCATTTTAGGTGTATTTGAAAGGATGAAGTTGTCTTTTTTCAAGATATTAAGACGTCTTCCAGTGATTGGCCGAAAGGTATGTCAGACAGTTTATTTACTACAAACAACAAATCACCTTTAAAAACCGTGCTACAGTTGACTTCAAGAATGTTACAAATGTTACAAACATTGATGTTTCCAGATTCAAGAGGAATTAGAGAAAACAAAGTCAGCCATTACCAAGGACATGTTCCCACTTCCACAAGGTGACATCTACAACACTCACTTGCCAGAGCAGGGAATCCCCAAAGATGAGTTATTAAACTTAGTTACAACTAAGTATAAAAGTATGGGTAAGCTGTCTCTTATACACATCTCAACAATAGCATAATGATAATAATAATAATAATAATAATAATAATAATAATAATAATAATAATAATAATAATAATAATAATAATAATAATAATATAACAATGACAATTATAGCAACTATAATTAGTAAAGTGAAACTCGCCGTAAATCTAATAAAATATGAAGCAAACACTACATCAAATTCATTTGGGATAGAGTGTGTGCATATTGTAAATTGTTGATATCGATTAATCTCAAGTTGTTAGGTTTAAAATTTAAAGTAATAATTTTTGAAAATCTATTGTTGATTTGGTTTTATTGATGAATTGTCTCTCAATTTTGGTGTATGACTATTTAGTTTTTTGTTTGTATTTGTTTGCTACAGTAGTCTTTTTAATGTTTTACATTCTAATTCCATACCTACATCATCTGGCAAGCACAATAATTTCTTTAGTTTTTTTTGGCGATTATATATTTTCTTGTCATTTTATTTGTGAATTTACATTAAAGAGTGATCACTCATTTTATAATTTATCTCAACTCTGGCATTTTTATGACTCATTTTATTTTCATTCTAGTTGCACAGGCCTTTATGGGAGCATAGGGCCCTGGTTGAGTTGAGTGACATGATCTAAATGTGGGTGTTTAATTCAAACTAATATTCATCCAAAAATAGGTGAATATTTTAGGGTCCCAGGCTCTGTGTACTTGCCCCACCTTTAGAAACCTAGTTAAAGTTCAAACCTCACCTTTCCTTTAACGTATGGCATGTTTTTGACACATGTGAAGAAGGTTCTTTTCACACGCTGCATTATGGCTGAAAATACAAATAATAAAATAACAATAACACTCAGCAATAACAAAATATTTACATTGCGCCAATTTCAATGCAGGCAGCAGCAGGTGTCACTCAGTGACAAAAAATACTGTGCGTGTAACGATATTACGTAACACAGGCCTAGCTTAGCCCCCCACGAGGCTTCCCTACTTAAACTGTTAGTACAGTATTTAGGCAAAGTTCTGATGATATTTGTAGCTATATCATTATGTTTAACTTACCCAGTACACTTCCAGATTTGCCAAAATTTCACTGATGTCCATTTTTATCAAGATGTACCACCCGCAAACTCACAAAATGCAGCTGTATCTGTAATATGGATGTTGCACAAAGATCTTATAAACACAAGATAGCGTTCTCCGCGATTTACGCGTAACAAATAGAAGCGTCGGTCAAGGTTCAAAAGTTTCCCATTTAGCAAGAGGGCGCCATTCATGCGCTATTACCGAAGAGAAAAAGTAAGTTTTGGAAGAGGGCGTCCTATCTGTTGCCATGGATCTGAGGTGGTTCCTGTTCTGCTGTTCACAGGCGGTGTACTGTATGGTCAGATCAGAGCGGTCAAGGGTCAAAAGTTTCCAATTTAGCAAGAGGGCGCCATTCATGCCTTATTACAGAATTTGCACGCGTAAATCCCGGAGAACGCTATCTTGTGTTTATAAGATCTTTGATGTTGCAATAAAGTGTAGGTGGCGCTGTTGCTAATTGTCACATGTCATAACAAACACACCCCCTAGACGAGTCAGATGGACCGGTATCTTTGCTACTGCTAGTAACATATAAGTAAAATTTTAAAAAATTAAGTACTCCTGGAATAATTATGGAGTTCATTGAAAGCTGGGCTGTAAGTATTATTAACTATTAATTAATTTTGGAGATATTTATGAGCAGCTGCAGAAGTAAACTTCCATGACAACTGGAGATGAGAAGGAAATTATATAACATGAAATTTGATAAATATCCACACTTCTTTATAGCTTGCTGTATTGAAATATTTTTTTAACTTGTTTTTGGTAGGAAATCGGTTTATTGTACCTGAATAATACAAGACATTTTATTAATGATCAATGTTCTGGTAGGGAGGCATGGGAGATAATCTTGGCCACTGTGTTGCTGATAAACATCTGCCATTGGTTATACCAGCAAGTGTTTCTCCATGAGCTAAGTAAGTGCTGTAATTGAAAATCAGGTTACTTCAAGTAATCTATATGCATTTATTGTTACAGCTATCCATATGAAACAGGTTTGTAGAAACAAATGCATATAAAATTTTAAAGAATCGAACCCGGGACTTTTCGCTTAAACGGCGAACGTATTTACCAACTAGACCATGAAGGCTTTCGTTAGTTGATTTGATCCGATAGCCACTGAGAGTCCTTCAACATTCTCAATGCATGGCAATTTGAACAATACTAGTCCATGCATGCTATGGGACCATCCAAGATCTGAATATACACCCTCTGCAGTACATTATGTAAGGCAGGCTGGATCTCAAAAGGGATTTCTCATTTTAGGTGTATTTGAAAGGATGAAGTTGTCTTTTTTCAAGATATTAAGACGTCTTCCAGTGATTGGCCGAAAGGTATGTCAGACAGTTTATTTACTACAAACAACAAATCACCTTTAAAAACCGTGCTACAGTTGACTTCAAGAATGTTACAAATGTTACAAACATTGATGTTTCCAGATTCAAGAGGAATTAGAGAAAACAAAGTCAGCCATTACCAAGGATATGTTCCCACTTCCACAAGGTGACATCTACAACACTCACTTGCCAGAGCAGGGAATCCCCAAAGATGAGTTATTAAACTTAGTTACAACTAAGTATAAAAGTATGGGTAAGTATTACTGTATGTCATCATTATCATCATCATTATCGACAAGAGTTGCTGGTACTAGGTTACCGGGTAGCACAGGCACAAAGGGACCCTTAGGGGCGAAGTCACTGATCGAGTTCCTAGTCCCTGAGCATCTTGTTTTATGGATACAGCGCTATATAAAACTACACTATTATTATTATTATTATGATTATTATTATTATTATTATATTTATTATTTTATATTTATCATCATCATCACGCTATTAATCGGTAAAATATTTATTTATTTATATTATATTTTGACTATCTATATACAGAGAAAATTGATTGGCAGGGAGGGCGCTTGTCCGGTGCTGTTTACAATTGTGGAGCTGAACATGAGAGTCTTATGGAGCGGGTATATTTTAATTTTATATTACAGTACTGTAAAAACAAACTTCAAAGTTCAATTCATTTTCCATACAACATAAACAAAATTGATACATATAAATGTAAATATAAATATGAATATAAATAAATATATATATATAAGTTGCATGGAAGGAGGCTATAATAACTTCTGCAGGTGAACTATAGAACTTAATATAAAATGCTTCATTGTCAAAATTAAAACATACCACAATTATAATTGTCAGTATATAATATTAAATTATTATTATCATCATCATCATCATTATTATTGACATTATAAACTTAAATACTACTGTTATCATCATTATAACTTTAAAATGAGTGTTTACCAAACATTCATTAATATTTTTTTATTAGAAACAAATTGTTATTCTATTTTATGCTTTTATTTCTATATAGATCTATGGTATATTTGTTGGTGATAACTTACTCCACCCAGATGTGTTCCCAGGTACTCGCAAAATGGAGGCTGAAGTTGTAGCCATGTGCTGTAATTTTTTTCATGGTGGTCCCGAAGCATGCGGCACGGTAAGTCAGTAATTGAAATAACCAAATGTCAATTCACAGATCTATAGTGATTGGGGGAAAAGGATCAACTGAAGTTTTGGCATTGTAGATCAATGGTGGATTCAAGGGGGGTCTAGCTGGCCTGGGCCCCTCTAAATTTTTTTACATTATAAAAAAAAAGAAAATTATATTTTTTTTATTTCTGACTATCTAGAGGTGCCATTATGATAATTTTTTCTTACCTAACTTTGGTGGGACTGAGGTGGATGGACTCTCCATCTGTGAAAGTTCCTCCCTTGGGCACCCTCTATTTCGAATTAGTGTATCCACCACTGTAAAAAAGAGACAACCATGCCCATTTTCATTACAGGCAATATTTTTATATAATTATATTGTACATTTTTAATTCATGACTAAGGCACTGTTCAGACTATCAAATTTTATTTTACAAAAACATGCGACATGCCTAAATATGGTCATGATGACATCACATCATCACCATATATAGGCACATCATGACTATATATGGGCATACCACAGTATTTTGTCTGATAATCTGGACAATTCATTTTGATATAGATGACTTCAGGAGGCACAGAAAGTATTTTGATGGCATGCAAGGCCTACAGGGAACATGCTTACAAGCGAGGAATAAAATATCCTGAAATGTACGTAGTCTCCTAAAAGTTTCCATCTTTCATTACATTTTGTTATAAATTTTTTTTTGTAAATGAAAGACTTGCATTATATTTAGTATCTTTTTAATTTCTATTCTAGCTTTTCTTTTTTTTCTGTACTAAAGCTATGTTATATATGTATCATTGCTTAGTGCAGGAAATAAGAATTTGAAAAGAATTTATGTAACGTTTGTGGATGTGTATTTTGTGGTAAGTCAGGGGATATACTGCATAGGCTGAAGCCATTTACAATCTGTGAGTGCAGTTAATAATGCGAGGCCATCTGCCAATTTTTGGTAGTATGTATCTTCATTAAAAACAATCTGTCACATCTTCATGGAATCGTGCTGGTTATCTTTGGACAATAAAGTAATATTTTTTATTATTTTACCGTTGATAAATATATTAATATTCGTTTCAGTTTGGCACCTTGCAGTGGACATGCAGCATTTGCTAAAGCTGCTAAGTATTTCAAAATGAGGTACGTTGAAACCCCAATAGATCCAACCACCAAATTGATCAACATACCAGTAAGTTTACGATGTATTTTCCTTTGTTTTTTTAAATATAATTTTGAAGAACGAAGCATAGGCATGAATATAAATAAAGGTCTCTCTCCAATTAAAGACCACTTTTGGGTCTGATTTTACATGGACTTTAGCAGCTTTAGTTGGAAATTATTCTTATAAAAATAAAAGATAGACATACATTTGGGGGCCACAGAAAGGTGGTCTTTAATTGGATGGGTCTTTAATGAGACCAAGACCTGTGATATAAGTGCTTCTCTTGAATAAGCACTGATCTCGATTATGTGCCGCTGCAAAAATCACATTGATCATCTTGCTCTGAATATCTTTGATAATGTTGTATGGTGAAGTTTTATCTTTGCTTCCTTAAAAATTTTCAGACGTCAATTGAGGTCCATGAACTTTTATTTCAGGCGATGAAACGAAAAATAAGCAAAAACACTTGTATGCTGGTTGTGTCTGCACCCTCATTCCCCTATGGTGTTGTTGAACAGGTTGAAGAAGTTGGCAAGGTAACCCAGATAGAAATAGCCAATCTATAATTCAGCTAATGCTGAGACAGGGGGAAGCTAAAGAGGTCCTTGGACATAGGGGTGAAAAAACGGATTAAAATAACATTCATTTTGGACGAATAAAAGTTAAAATAAGACATCTCAATATTTGAGGTTGTAGGTACTAGATGATTCTTCCCAGACCCCAGTTGCACCTTGTCACTCTAGCTCACAGGGGCTCCTACACTGCAACCCCTGAGCAGAGCCACTAGAAAAAAATAGATAAAAAGAGTAAAAACATCAACCATTTTAGACAAATAACCTATATTGCTATTAACTTAAATATAGTATCTAAATACCTAAAAGGCAGAGGTTGTTGGGGTTTCAGGCCCACAGACCCCAACCTACACTCTACCTCTTGTTGTAGGCCCAGCAGCTGCACAGTAAAAGAGGAAAGGTTAGCATCATATAGACTGCAAAGGCATATAATTACTGTACAGCTTTTAACTGACAATATTTGTAAACTTTGCAGTGGCTGATTCAAGGGGGCCAGCTAGCACTCTTCCCCACCCTTTAAATGTTTCAAAATTTAAAAAAAAAATTATATTAAAATTTGAAGTATGAGAGTGCCATTTCTGGCCTTATAGAGGTGGCATAATAAATTTTCTTAGTGGGGCTGAGGTTTTATAGACCCTACATCTATTGAAGTCTCAATTCCTGGATCCCCCACTGTTTATCACTGCAGTATATTAAACACAATTTCTGTTATAATTTATAACTTTGATCCATATTTCTTTCAGCTCGGCAAGCACTACAACATCCCTGTTCATGTTGATGCTTGCATGGGTGGCTTCATTATCCCTTTTGCCAAGAGGGCGGGCATCAACCTGCCACCGATGGATTTCAGAGTCGAGGGAGTGACAAGCATATCAGCGGATGCTCACAAGGTTTGTATCTATGTTCAAGATAAAAAAAACAGGCTCACAACCAAATTAGGTGAATAAAATAAAACATCAAATTACCACAATAATAGAAAAGAGGACAGGAAACAAGGAGCAGTTATATTAGTCATGTGTAATATGACTACTCCCTGAGTAAATGTAATATGCTTCTTAAATGTTGATACTGTATGTTTTAAATTTCAAATCCTGGAATGTTGATGACTGGAGCTGTAGGTTGTTATTTAAGTTACTTGACTATTATGTCATTTTCATTGATGCAACATGAAAACAATTTATATTATTAGTTGTCAAATTATATTCCTTGTATTTTAATTTATATTTAGTATGGTCTTGCACCAAAAGGAAATTCAATTGTTGTTTACAAAAACCCTGAATATCGAATGGGACAGTTCTACATAAACACAGATTGGTGTGGTGGTATTTATGCTTCTCCTGCTGTTGGGGGTAAGTAACTACCGGTATAGAGTTTGTGAAGAAATGTTGAGATTGGCGACAGAAGTGGTACAGCAGGGTTTAGCACACTATGGTTCCCAAGAACCAATATGGTGAAAAGGAAATTTAACAATACTTGAGACAATATATAACCCCCTAAGTTGGCTAGGATTATTGTTTGAAACACTCTGGCTCTCATTCCTGTCAATCCAGTAATTACAGCATTGTTGTTTCTTTCCCTCTATCTTGGAAGGCACAAGATCTGGAGCCGTAATAGCAACATGCTGGGCTACAATGATGTATGTTGGTGCCGATGGCTACCAAGAAAATGCAGTGAAAATCATTAAAACAAGAGAATATGTAGAAGATTGGTAGGTCAATGTGAGAATTATCATTAATGAATATGGCTACATCAGAATTTTTTTTAGCAGATTCCCTTTCCTGTCAGTCACAGTGTATTTAAGGAGTGCATAACTTTTGTACGTATCCATTATAAAAGTGTGAGAATATCATATATTAATGTATTTTCACTTTTTCTCTGGAATCAACTTCCCACCATAATCCGTTATGTTCCAACTCTTTCTCAATTCAAATCGCTTCTAAAAATTCACCTTTTTTCATAGTTCATACTTTTCAAGTACTGTAAGACTCCAGCAAAGAGTGCCACATAAATGCTGAAATATTATTATATATTATATTATTATGTTACAGATACTCAAAGTTTTTACTATTAGCATGCGAACATGTAAATGAGGTCACAGTCAATTAAGGATAGAGATCAGAATCTTGATATTTTACTATGAAATAGATGGATTAAAGTGAAATATTTCTTTTTTTTTATTTCAGTGTCCGCAATATTCCAGGATTAACTGTTCAAGGGAAGCCAGACGTGAACATTCTCTCGATATCTTCAGATACATTTGATATTTATCGATTGGGAGCAGCATTGACCAACAAAGGTTGGCACATGTTTACAGTCCAGTATCCAGCGGGGTGAGTAAAATGTTAATACCTGTATTATACATGCCAACTTTGATGGCGTCCGATGCGCGAGACAAAAAGAAATGAAATTTGTATATAGTGCCCTCTATGTAAAAACGTAGGTGTTAGACGTAAAAAGTGGATGACTTGCGCATTATGCGTGAGAGGTGTATAATAGATGTCTCTTTTAGCATGCAAGCCTTTCCTAGCTATGTGCAAACAAATTAATTCTCCATTCACTTTTCTGTTTTGCTGTGTTTAGTGTAAATTTTTGTGTGACGAAGATGCATACGCTACCTGGGGTTGCCGAGGGATTTGTGAAGGACCTTGAGGAATGTACCGCAGATATCATGAAAGACCCCAACGCTAAGGCTGATGGAATTGTACGTAACAACTTTAGCATACAATAACTGCCATACTTAAAATTCAACCAAATTCAATGTGTGTGATTTTTGTATCATGTGTTTCAAATTTCTTTTATATTTCTGGAAATTAGGCTGCGATCTACGGCATGGCTGAAAGTATACCAGACAGGTCAATGGTGGCAGAGTTTGTGCAGGGGTATCTGGAAGCCTACTACAGCACAAAGTTGTAGGCAGAGGATCAGAAAGACTAAATGAGGGCTGCATTAATACTGTCAATGGTCTTTTTGCTGACTGTTGTGTAGTAAATTGTATTGAAATCAATGTGGAAATAAAACCATTCCGTCCAACTGCTGCTATCATCTTAGCTAAGATGACAAACTTCAGAATAAAAACTATTGTGCATTAATAGTGGACCATTAAATTGGTTGTTAATCAATCAAAAATTTTCACCCTTATAAATGGATTTAATAGAACTAAAATATATTTGAAAAAAATTATCCAGTTATCCAGTATTATAGATTTTATGGCAAAATGTATAACTTTACAAGTTTTAACAACTTACCAAAATCATTATATTATGCAATTTGAGTGATTTTACACAAGGAATAGAATTTTTTTTAATGTGATTTTTTGTTTAAATATTTTGAACTGAATTTTTAAAAAATATATATAAATAAATAACTGTCTGATGAATATGATTAGTGCACAAGTGTATTCATGCTACATAACAACGCCACTAAGAAGGCATCTGCACATGCGAGAATGTTCTCGTCGCCTGGATTCTACGACACAGTTTGGCCCGAACCTACATTGTGCAGGGAACGCGAGGAAGACGGTAACAGATGAGCGTATCTCATGTATATAACATCTTTGTGCAGATTTGCTGTGCACAAAAACTTAATGCACACACAATTAGGCGAACCATGCATTCGCAAAATCTTGCTAACTTATCGCAGTTTAAAAAGTGGTGCTACTTCGTCTTGGGACAAATTTAATCCAACTCTAACATGGCTTAATCCAACTCTAACATGGTTTAATCCAACTGTAACATGGCTTAAGATATTAATAATCCTGCTACTGGCAATTATTTGCACATCTGTGTAAATAAATATCAGACATCACAAGAGCACAAATGACTTTGAATAAGACAACAAGAAACTTTAATTCTGTCTTACATTGCTTTTAATATAATTACAGACATGTGCAACTCCATTTGTTAATCAAGTGCATACGATTACTTCTTGCCTGACGTTACTTTGTTTTTCTTTGTACCACGGACCTTCTTCATTCTGTTCTTTCTTTCCTTTCGTTGTTTACGAGTGGGCCTCTTTTTCTCGTATAATCCATGCTGCAGAAAAAAAGTTAAAAAAACTTTATTGCAGTCTAAATAATTTATAGTGCTTTATCCTCTAATTAATCAACAAGACAAACCAAGAAAAACATTTTGTTTATTTCATTTATTTATTTAAACAATATTTTACGAAGGTGGTCCATCCAGCTGGAGCTGATCATTAGGGACCCCCAATACATAACACAAGTAACAAAGAAAATATAAATAGAAAAACAAAGAAATTAAAATGAAAAAATAATTTTAAAAACCAGAGGTGGCGCCAGGATTTGCCTGACAGGGGCCGAGATCCCCTGCCCCGAGGAGGTGGAAGATCTCCCCAAACCAAGTCGGCGTGGTCAAGTATCCCTTAAAATGTTTCGAAAGTAGTCCAGGGGGGCCAAGGCCCCCCCCCAAAAAATTGTAACAATTTAGGGGTTTCAAAGGCTTTAGGGTCTACTAATATGTACAAAATACATATACAGTAGAATCCCTCTATTAAGTGCGGCACGTCCAGAGCCGTTCGTAATTGCAGGTATTCGTAAAATCGGGGTTGACCCAAAATCTTATATATTTGCACTGGGACTACTTACACTGGCATAAACTAGGCCTAGGCGTGGCCCACAGGCCTAAGCTGCAAGTCTGAGGGGGCCTAGGCCTACAGTAGGCAGTTTCTAACCCTTCTGATCCCACTCTAGGCCCAACACAAATTTGTTTTTAATTAAATTAATTAATTAATTTTAAATTAATTCCTCGCTGGCGCCACCCCTGTTTACTACACATGCCATTATTATGAACAATTTATCTCTGATACCCAACATGGATGAGGGAAAGGCCTTGGGATTGGAAAGCATCTTGAACACTAAGATACAACTTCACAAATAACAGTTTGTATCCATTGGATTTCAAAACAAGGAAAGCAGCGATGGGATTAAATACAGCACCAAATGTGTGAAAGACACGCCACAATTCACCTTCAACACAGCAGTTAGCCGAATGAGCTATGCTGCTTGCCTCAAAGTTAACATGAAAATATATCACTTTGAAAGAGAACTTACTCTTTGCAACCTGTACTTGGGTTCAATTTTCTTTGCCGAGTCAAGTGTGTCGTAGACGAGGGCAAAGCCAGTAGTACGTCCACCTCCAAATTGAGTTCTGTAGCCAAAGCAGAAGACTACATCTGGTGTTGTCTTGTACATACTTGCGAGCTTCTCACGAATCTCTGTTTTAGGAACAGTGGCTTTTCCTGGGTGGATTACATCGACAATCTACAAGTGAAGTATTGGCAAGTGTAAAAATTACACAAATCAAGAGACTCTTGCTTGGATAAATCAATCTGACACATTCCTTCATGAACTTGCCAAAAAAATAATGGAATTGTCCAAGTGAGGTGTATTATAATGCAATTTTGTTACGTAATTCAGGCTTCAGTCTGCCTTGAAATTGATGGCTGTCAAGTTTTCTTCACATACGTACATTAAGTAAGTGTATATACAGTCACAGCTCTTTCTTCTCATACGTACATTAAGTAAGTGTATATACAGTCACAGCTAAATGAAAATAAAGCATAAAATAACAGAAAATTGAAGCCAGTTACTGTCCTAGTATTTTGAGTCCCTATGTAGTCCATATGTAATGTCAGATATTATTCATATTGACATTGAATATATAATATCGACTTCAGTTTTTAATATATTTCAAACCAATTTTTGTTAATTTAATAGTCAAGAACAAAAGATATTTATAATATAGTTTGATACTCCACAATTTAAACAAAACATGTGGATTATTTTTAAATAATTAAAATTAAAGTTTTGTGAAGAATTATTAAGTCGCAAAATAACAATATACTAGTTACTACTTACCATCTGCTTGCGACTCAACAGACGGTTGGTCATGAATTTGCGAGTACGCACAGTCACTGCGTTATCACCCTATACAAAAAAAGAAATTTAACGATTATGAAAGATATGTACCATATTTATTTAGCAAAAAGTTATAGTGCTAAAGAGCTTGTCTCACTAAAATGCACACACTACACCACTGTGACCACTTACTACAGCAAATCAGCGATGGCAACTGTAGCCACATACACATGCTAACCTTATAACCGAATGCTGCCCTCAAAATGCATGCCTGTTGTTTCCAAATCAAATTGCCAATTATTGCAGAAAAAAAAAACAACACCGAAACTAGGCCCTTGGCCTGACCATTCACAATTATTATTTTGTCTAAATAAATCAGATGGGTGTAGCCCTCCTCTCCATGGTAGACCCTCTCCATAATGTATATGAGTATCTGTACCACTCAGCCTAGAGTGTAGTACAGCCGGTCATATATAGGGTATCCTACCCTATTTATTGCGTAGGCTAGCACTGCAGGCTAACCCTAGCCTAGCCTAGCTAAGCTTAGACTACGCATCAAACCAAAATACAATAAGTCGCCTCCTTGCTTTTGAATATATTCATGTACGCCTAGTCCGACTACTTTTCCTCGGCCTTTTTTAGCCACAACAACAAGTACCTAGGTAATACGATTATGGATGTGGACAATCAGAACTCCTATGTAAGCCTACCATATCTAGCCTAGACCAAGTGTCGGTTTATCGTTTTTCTCCGATGTATAATCGTAGTTATATCAATATAATCGTACAAACATTTTTCCAGATATTTAAAGTAAATTTATTATAGACTTAAAAAATAGATTCATTTTCTAAGGTTTACAACATTAAAAGGTAGATATTTAAGGATTACTAAACATCAATATCCGTACCATTTTGTGTGCTAGCTTGGGGCAGCTGAAGAGAATTTGCGCCCCCTAGAGGAGCCAAAAATGGGAGAATGTAGGGCGCCATCAATTTGATATGTCATTCAGGACTTTCACTCATTTCATTCATTCATTCATTCTTTATTTAGCCTTTTATAAAAATCAAATTACAATTTGCTCATACAGTAAAAAAAACTCACAATACAGAATAAAACTGAAAATCTAAGGAAGCAAGGATTAACAAAAGCAATTAAAATTGCTGTAGCTCACAAGCTGAGTCGTGGTAATTAGCAACTACAACTACCTTTTCCATATGGTCGTAATTTTTAAATGTAATAATGATATTTTAATTATTATTCTAGTATCAAATAATATTATTTATTACGTTGAAAAATGGATGCAAGGTTAAAGTGACTCAAGGTGCATTAAAGCAGTGTGTCAATGACTAGTAAATAACATTTCTATATTATATAACTGTATAAATGATTAAGAATAAACAATAAGAAATATTATACTTATACATACTAAGGACCAAAAGAATCTGATCTTTATATCGTATTGGTAGGTTAACCATCCCCACCACATCCTCGTCATCATCACCATCGTCTGCTCATCCTCCTTCACTGCAGTGTATAATAATAAATAATAATATAATAGTGTAGTTTTATATAGCGCACATATCCATCTAATGTAAGATGCTCAGGGCGCTTGATATGTGGACTACATTCCGTAATTTTTTGGTTTATTTTATTAACATTTCAATGTATATCCTTTTTGTAAATGAGATAATAAAGAATAAAGAGTACTTAATTTGCATTGTATTTTATTTTGTCTTCTATGGTGTACAGAAAATCATTACAACGTGAGATAGGTACTACTATAATGCATTCCTCGTCATCAACACTAATCATCACTAAATAATGTGAATCATTTGTCTATCATACACTGAAAAATACTAAACTAGTCTCAAAACAGGACATACTCGACAGCTGCAAGTGCTGTTACTAAATGCAACGTGGGACATTTTAACTAAGCCACCTTGGATATTGCTAAGATCCAACAAAACGACAGTCGTAAATATACCTACATCATGTATTTGTGGATCTTCTATTATGTATTGAACATAAGGTGGGTGTAACAACTTGTTTTACACATGGTACTGTTTTGTGATACAAAATTACAATATATAAAAAAGTTATATAATATGTTCACATAAAAATGATAAAATTCTTAAAACCAGAATACATTGCATTTTGTTAAAATACATCAAAAAAGTTAAATCACAAGGCATGGGCGGATATAGATTCACGTTTAGGGGGAGGGGTCAAAATGTTTCCAAAAAACCAAAAAAGAAAGGGGGTTTGATTCCTGGATGGCGGGAAATGAGCTTTCCCGACCTTTGAGGCGTCTTTTAATGAATTTTAAGTTCAAAATTCAAGGTTTCCCCTCTTGAAAACGGTCAGGTAAATTTTTCTCATTCTCATTACAGTGTAAATAGGCCGATTATGTGTCGACCGGTATACATACAGAAAAAAAACGAGTAGTTGCATACGTATTATTCATATATTTTTTATTTATTTTTTGTCCAAGAGGGGAGAGGGTTTCAGAACCCCTCAGATCTGCCATGCAAGGTAAGGTAATGAATGATAAAATTAAAATAGAATTCAGTAGTAATAAGATTAGTAAAATTGTTTTAAGAAATGCAAACAGTTTAGTCATAAAATTGATTAAAAGTATATGCAAATGTAAAGGCTTGTTTACACTATGACGATAAAGATCAACTATGAAAATCGTTGATCGTTATAGTCAGTGGAAACAAGCCTTAAGAGTATGTACTGTTCTGATTGGTCAGTTGTTAAATTTAACACTCAGCAAAGCTCTGTTGGGGCAGTCTGATTTGAAAGGGGTTTTGTTCAAAACCTGATGAAAGCAGTACGTCATCATCTCTATATATACAACTAATGCAGATAAATTTTCCATAACAAGTTTAACACCTTGCGATCGTCATCTAAATTAGAACAATTAGAAAAAAATGTCAAGTTACCTTTATACCACCTAGTTCTATTCTTATTAAACAGAGGCAATAAGCAGTTTGGCGCAGTGGGAATGGTTTTGTTTCCCAACCTAGGGCTTGGGGTTTTAATCTCTTGCTGTGCATTTTGCTTGTGTCCCTAAGAAAGGCACTTTATCTGCATTGTTTCTCTCCATCTAGAGTATAAATGGGTACCTGGTGGGGTTGCCTGCTTCTGCACCGATTACCAGCAGCAACACCTGAAGCATATGGACCCAATGACCAGGGGAAAAAAGTGCGTTATATAATCTCAAGTAAGAGGAGCTAAATGCCTATACCAGATAACAGATTACATAATTTGAGGATTACCGGTACAGCTAAAATGAATTACGTGCATGAAAGCAAACAAACACCAAATTAAACTTGCACAAATATTTACATTTTATGTTTTACTTAAAAAAAAATACAAGTAATCCAATTTAAAGATCATAAAATAACCACTAAATGTACATAATATCAAATTAATGTAATTTCAGTAATTCCAATGGTTGGCTGGTATACTACTGATGTGATCAGCACATTATTTAATTCGATTAGGATATTGTGTTTACTCTCTAAACAATATATGTTCCTACTCTAAAAAAATATAAATGATAATACAGCAATAATAATAATGAAGATGATGATGATAATAATAATACCCAACAACGATCATAACAATAGACACTTTTAAAATGGCAGTGAAATATTAATAAAAGAAAGTTTTATTTTTAAGTTTTTTTTAAATTCTGATATTTATTATGTAAAACCTCTAAAGTAATTATCAACAAATGTTAGTTTTTGAACAAAGGTAAAGGTATATAGGATGTGCATGTTAAGTGTTTATTATTTTTTAATTCTATTTCTAAATTGAATGCTAATACAGGAGCGTAGGCTGGTTT